GCTGGAGGGTGCCGGGGCTGTGTGGGGGCTGTGCGGGGGTGCCGGAGGGTGCTGGGGCAGTGTGGCAGCCAAGCGGAACTCAGGGGAGCTGTGTGTATAGAATCATAGAATCACAGAATGGTTTGGGTTGGAAGGGACCTCAAAGATCATCTAGTTCCAACGCCCTGCCCTGGGCAGGGACACCCCCCACCAGACCAGGTTGCTCTAAGCTCCCTCCAACCTGCCCTTGAACCCCTCCAGGGATGGGGCAGCCACAGCTTCTCTGGGCAACCTGGGCCAGTGTCTCACCACCCTCACTGTAAAAAATTTCTTCCTGAGACCTAATCTGAATCTTCCAATTTAAAATCGTTTCCCCTTGTTCTATCATTACCCTTCCTGGCAAAGAGTCCCTCCCCAGCTCTTCTATGGGCACCCTTCAGATATTGAAAGGCCGCTATAAGGTCTCCCCAGAGCCTCCTCTTCTCCAGGCTGAACAATCCCAGCTCCCAGGGTTGGTAGTCAAGCTTAGCCTGCTCTCTTCTCTGTCCAGAGAGCTTCGAGACCGGCTGAATCCTGGGTTGGGAAAGGTGGTGGTGGGATGGAAAGGATTTTAGGCAGGTACTTCAAAAAAGCCAAGTAAATCCACTGAACTCCTGGGGAGACTTGGGGTAAAACCATGTGGATATCATAGGCTTTTTGTGTAAGGGTATTGCTGCGTGAATCATTTTTAAAGGTTTTATGATACGCAGCCTGATAATTTTGGTTAAACTTTTCCTGATACTGGAATCAAACAGAGCTTCACTCTTACCTCTGAAATGAGCGAGGACTTGGGCTCTCCATGTCTAAAAGAATTGATTAAAACATTGGATGAATATCCTGACTGGTTACTCTTTCCTGGGTAAAGCCCTTCAGTTCAGGAAACAGAACTCTCTCAGGTTTGACCAGAGCAGGAACTAAAAACTTTTGCTGCCTTCTCTTCCAAGTGAAGTAGCTTTTGCTAGTAAATGTAAAAATGGATACAAAACACTAAACTTCTCACGTGTAGATTTCTGTGTAACAGGACTAGTGTGTTTGTGTACAATTATCGTTAATTTCCTTAGGTGGTTTCAGTAAGCTTGCTGGTGTCAGGGTCTGATGAATTTGTTTGCTTGACTGAAGGAAAGATGGACCTAAATATAATGACTAATTAGGATATGTGGTTTCCAGTGGGAAATACAGGTGTGAACTGAGGTGAACAAAATTGCCTTTACATATGTAATATTCTAATTATTTTAGATGTAAACATTGTTGGTACTTTTTTTATATAGACTTTATTAACTATTTTATTGGACACTGTCAATTTCAATAATCTTTTTAGATTAGATACTAGAAAGAAATTCTTTGGTGGGAGGGTGGTGAGAGCCTGGCCCAGGTTGCCCAGAGAAGCTGTGGCTGCCCCATCCCTGGAGGGGTTCAAGGGCAGGTTGGAGGGGGCTTGGAGCAACCTGGTGTGGTGGGAGGTGTCCCTGCTCAGGGCTTGGGGGGTGGAACTCGATGATCTTTAAGGTCCCTTCCAACCCAAACCATTCTATGATTTTATAATTATAATAATTATGGAAAAAAATAATTATAGAAATAATATAATTATAATTATAGAGTCATAGAAAGGTTTGGGCTGGAAGAGACCTTTAAAGACCATGTAGTCCAACCCCCGTGCCACGAGCAGGGACATCTTCAACTAGACCAGGCTGCTCAGAGTCACGTCCAACCTGACCTGGAATGTTTCCAGGGATGGGGCATCTCCCACTTCTCTGGGCAACTAAACTGAGGAAGACAAACTTGACCATTCTATGCTTGTGTAGTGTCAATTTTAAAAAACTGTATCAATTGCATAAATGGCCACACAGTTAGCTTTTCCCTCACCGCCACTTTTACATCTTTAACTTTTAATAAACTTTGATTAACTGTCTGTCTTATTGGTGCTTGGATTAAAAATTAAATCCCTTCTGTGGGCAGTATATCTTTTTCTGTTCTATGGAGGAATTTAACCTGTTTATTATTATACGTTTATATTATTATATGAGCACGCAGTGGGGATTTGGATGGGAGCTGATAGGGAACTTTCAGAAGGAATAGTTAAAACACATACTCAGGCCAAGAATTTGTCTTGGTAAAAGGGTTTAGTAATTGATCTTTTTCAAATCATAAGGTATTGGAGTGAAGAAAGATCTAATGAAATGATGCTTTTCTCCACTGGATGGTGCTGCTTGCCCAGAGTTGCAGTACTATTTCCAGCATCCTTTTATGAGCAGCCCAGAAGATTGGTGTTAACTTCCCAGCTGAATTTTTTAGCTGGAAGATAGTATGTTGTTTCCTTTCTTGCCCTTAAGACATCGGTGAACAAATATTTCTGATAAATTGTTGACTAAACAGTCATTGTTTGGAGAGGAGAGATGATTTTATGGTTGTTGTATGTGGCATGAAGTTGTTCCTGGCTGTTTTAATTACTTCCCTGAAGATGTAAGCAAGTAGCTTTACTTTACTGTGTCTAGTTTACCATATCTGAAAATAAGAGTGTGTTAACCTGGCAGAAATGTGAGGATTAATCCCATAATGGTAGTTAAAAGATTTTAAGTACTTGGATTAAAAGCACTGGGAAATGGAAGGTGTCTTAAAATTTCGACCTTGAGAAACCTCTGTATTGGGTACATTTGTGTTTTGTTACCAGGGTCCTCCTGGGTGTAAAATGTCTTAGGGCTTCTCTACGGAGAGATATTCAGAAAAATTAATAGAAATTAACTTTTAAAGTGGATTAGCTGAACTATATCAAACAACTCAATTTGGAAGTTAATTTAAATTCCCACGTTCAGTTGACACAGTGTAACACAAATCCTTAGGTGCGTAGGGTGGCTTCAGGGCTGTAAGAATTGCATTGAATTTAATTTTTGGGGGATTTGCAAAGTCACCACCTGGGGAACTAGTTAAGGAGAGCATAACAGAATACAGGCATACTTAATATGTTGTTATAGTTAGATTTTTAAATAAAGGCATTGAACAGATGACTGAGTGAGGGGAAGTCAATGTTAATTGAGAGATTTAAAAAAAAAAAAAAAGACAAATTAAGAAATGGGATTGAAAAGGAGGGCTGTGCTCAGCTGGGCAGCGAAACCTCTATAAAATTGCTGCTTTTTATTGTCCTTTATGTTTTTGTTTCGCTGTCAGTTAAGGCCGAAAGCAACAGCCAAGGTGTTCCCTGTTTTTATCGGGCTTCTCTTTTGCTGCCATCTCGACAGCTTTTTCCTTCATTCCCTCCACAAACCACTGGAAACCTGGGTCCTTAGGGATCATTTGCATCTTGGATGAGGGAAGATGACAGTGCATGTTAATTATCCCAGATCATGAGCCACTTCACTAAGGGAGCCAAAGGTTTTATTCTCCATGGGGCAGCAAGGAACCCTAATTTTTTGGGAATGTTTAAAATCACAGCCCACAGTGACACTTTACCATCTTTCTTTTTTTCAGCAGCACAGGCAGGGCTTGTAGTAGATAATTTTTGAAGGCTGTTTGTTGGAAATAAGTTGTTTACCTGTAGAGAATTGAACCAAGCAAGTGCTGTGCGGATTCCATGGCGGCACTCAGTCAGTTAACCTGCTGTAAAATCTTTTTTATGAACTGTTTGGGGTTTTACAAAACTCTTTATCAGACTATTACTTCTTATGGGGCAGCCACGCAGCGTCTGTTTTCAGCTTCAAAGCTTAGGAAGTACATTTAAAAACAAGCCATCATCATGCATTCTGATGGTAGTAGTACTTTAAGAACGAAACAAAGGGCAAAAAATGAATCAAACTGGGCAAAAAAAATGAATCAAACATTCCTGTGATATTCTGTCCCTCTGGCCCAAATCCGAAGTGTTGGGATTTAGGGAAAGATGACTTCCTGAGTGTGTTGAAACGCGCCTCGGTGGACTTGGCTTCTCTCTGACTCGATGTGGCCTTGGGTTAATGGGTCGGTTTTTGATCCTCCGCTTCCCATCGCGTTGAGTGGAGTTTGTAATCTTCCTGTCTCCCGTTCTTTCTTTGTCTTGTTTACTTAGGTTGTCTTCCTGCGTGTGTTTAGGTGTACCACACTTGAAGGGACTGCTTGACTGCGTTAGCTTTTCTTCTTTTAGTTCAATAAAGCTATTCTTGATGGTGGAGGCGAGCGCACGTATGTGGGCCTGGGGGACTGTAGTTTCTTTAGTAGTTTGCGTAGGAAAAAGGAACCTGGGATTCTCAGTTTGCTCTTTTAACATCTGCAATAATTTCCGGTGACTTTTCAGTTTCCAAATAAACCATTTTGTGGCAAATCCAAAAGCTGAAATCCCACTTGTTTATTTTCTGCGATTCAGTTTTCTTGGGTCATTTCCGTTTTATTTTTGATTTGCCTTTTCTTATGAAGGCAAATATTAAAACTTCTATGTTCTGGTTAAAAAGAAGACTGCACCGAAGTCTCATCCCCTATAGATTTCATGTTGAAGCCAGATGTAAAACAAAATTGGAATAAATATGGAATTTAGGTCTGTACACCTCAATGGTAATCCTTAAAGCCTTCCCTGAATTGCAGCCCATCTGTAGGGATGACAACATCCGTTACAATTCCACTTTGGCATTCTTCACATTAATAATTAACATTTTCACTGGCTTTTTTTTTGCAATATAAGGTTTAGTAAATTAAACCCCCAAAGGTGTTTAGTCTGGCATAAGTTCTGTGGGGTTTTTTGCAACGAAGAGCTTTTTTTTGGTTTTTTTTTGAATTATTTAAACACTAAGAACACTGTGGAAACCTAAATAGAGCCTGTTTGAATTTTTTTCCTTCCTGCTCTAGCCCGTAGAAGGCAGAAGTGGTCTGTGGATCCACGAAATAGCGCTTGGAGTAAAGATGAGTCTAAATTTGGCCAGAAGATGCTGGAAAAGATGGGCTGGTCCAAAGGAAAGGTATGATCTAAAGGAGGGGGGATGTTTAGCTGAAGAGTGGAATACTGCTGGGGGGAACTCTTGATGTCAGTGTTTTAAACAACCATGTTCTTTTATTTGATTTATTCTCTTAAGTGCACAGAGAATTTGAGCAAGGTTAGATTTTTACAGTTTGTTACAAAGGTACTTGCTTGTGCTTGTCCTGCTTTGCAGTTTTTCTCCCCTCTCTTTGACAGGGTAACGTCCCCAAGTGAGAGCAGGAGTTGGCACATTAAATCAGGTGATGGTTAAAGGCTTTAAGTTGCTTTTATACCCGTAGTTCTCTCTCTGGCTTTTGATACTGTTTAAAACAACTCCAGGACCTGCTTTAAGCTGATCTGTTCCTGGAATGGCCAAAATGCAGCGTGGTGTGAGCTGTGTTTCTTCCCAGCTCCAGCCAGTACCTGTGGGGTTCGGTGACTGTTTTCTGGCTCTAAGAATAATCTCTAGGTCAGTGCAGACGGCTGCAAACTTCTCAGCTGCCCCTCAAAAGCAGTTTAACTTCCACAAAGGTGCCTCAGCAAAGCTGAGATTTGGGCCTGCATGTCAGCATGTGTAATGAAATGAATGCACGCAACCCCCCCACCATATTTATTTAATTCTTCTCCTAGATTTCCTCTCCCAGCTTTTTTTTTTTTTTAACAGGAGTAAGGTTAGGACCGTTCTCAATTATTTTAATACATTAAGACTTAGAAAAATAAGCTTCCTCAGTATAGTTTACTTTTGCGTCAGTTGGCTTAGGGTTAGCACATATAAATCTGGCTTCTGAGTCCCTCTAATTTAATGAAAAGCAAGTGGTACCTGATTCAGAGGCTGCTGAAGTCAATATCTGGCATTGGTCTCACTAGGCTTTAGACCAGACTAAAAAGTATGGAGCTTGAGAGCTGTTTTTTTACATAATTAGTATGCACAGGTGTTTTATAAGTGTAAGATTAAAATATCTATGTAAACCAGCATAGAAAAAAATGCTGTTAAGTGTTAGAATTGTTTTTTAGGCAGCCAGTTCCTCTGTAGATACTGCTTGTATCAGAGTGTGAAAGGGACCCCTCGTGTTGTTTTCTGTCACCCCCCTCCCACCCATCTTTTTCTTAACAATAAGTTTCCTACTTGAGCTACTGGACAGTCCTTTACAAGAAGAGAAGGGTTTCTCTCCATTCCACTACAAACTCAGACAAATGGAACCTTAACATGGTTAAATTAATGGGCAAAAGCCCATCCGTGCGGTGAAATTAAGCTGCTTACACTAGTCCTGTTATTAGTTGTCGTGGAATTGGGTCACAGCAGGATGTGTAGCCGAGTGTCCTGCTTCCTTCCAGACTTTTTGGTTAACAGAAGTTTCGAGGTAAATTTCCCACTCCACTGACCAAATAAACTCTACTGGATTCATGATTGCAACAGCCTTTTTCCAACATGCCTCATTGCTTCAAATATTAGATATTGCCAGGATCTATCCACAGGGCTTCTCTCCACCACATCCATGTTTCCTATAGTCGATGATTTATTACTGGTGACCAATTAAGGAAAAAGCGAGTAGATAATCAGGAGTAAAGTTTTAAACCTTTATTTTAAACCTTTTTAAAGTTTTGTCTTTTCTCCACTCCCCACCCACCCCTGTACAATTAAGAAAGATAATACTGGACCTAAGGATTGCTTCCCAGATTTGAATGATTGTTTTTTAGGACAGACAAACCCAATATTTGTTTGCTCCAGTATTTTCATCAGCTTATTAGTGTGAATGAGGTGGAAGAAATTCTTAAATGTCCTGTTAGCACCAGCGTGACCCTTTCCCTCTTGCTTCCCCCCCATATAACTTTGTTCCATATTTTATGTCCCATGTGGCATCTGTCTCACAGCAGTAGCTGCCTTCCCAGTGACGGAGGTATTTTTGGTGAGAGGCATGTTCTTTTTATGTAGTGTCTTGTTTTAAAATTGCAAACGCTTTGGACTTGCCTAGGAATGTCAGGTGGCTTCCTGATTAATCACCCAACTACTTAATGTTGTTGCTAATTTAGTGTTCATAATACTTTGCTGGAGGCTTAAGTAGTAAATTAAAAAAAAAAAAAATCTCATGTGTGCTAATGCCTACGACTGAATTCAGTTACAGGAAAGTGAATAAATAGTAAGTTGTGGTTTCTTTGCAATCTGTCCTACAGGAGCAAAGCTCTAGTTGCTTAGTCACTGCTGGAAAATCCTCACATTTTTAACCTTAAATCCTCCTTAGGGTCTTGGGGCTCAGGAACAAGGAAATACAGAACATATCAAGGTTCAGGTGAAAAACAACACGCTGGGCTTGGGAGCAGCCATCAATCATGAGGTGAGCATTAGACCCAGGTAAGGAAATGGTCCCATTTCAGCTAAAGCCCAGTCTTTGTGGTGGGACGTTAGTGAAATGTGCCATCACATCTGGTGGCAACATGTGCCTATGTGAACCTCTCTGCAGAAACTCTTGACCTGGAGTTCAGTTCTGCTTTGTTGGGTGTTTTAGGAGCAAGTACCTGCTTGGAAAGGTTGCGGTGAATTCTGGTTTTGGTTTTTTTGGCTTCCAAGCAAATCACTGAAATACTTGCTTTCTCCCTTTCCCTTCTGTCCCTCTCCCTGCTACAATCACCATTCTGACTGGAGTTCGGATACACAGGCAGAGCAGAACATGATCCTAAAGGTGTTTGTCTCATAATTAACATGTTAAGTAACTTTGTGTCTGGAAAAAATCACACTAGTATTTCCTGCCTGCTTTTGAAAACATCTTGCGCAGACAAGGGAGACGCAGAGCCAGGAGCAGCTCAGGATTGTTTAAGGACTTAAAAACACAACCCTGGAAAAAATCACACTAGTATTTCCTGCCTGGGGAGACACAGAGCCAGGAGCAGCTCAGTATTGTTTAAGGACTTAGAAACACAACCATTATCATTTCTGCACTTTGGAATGACTGTAGGGAGCTCACCTGTGCAGCTTCTGAGGGTCCCTCCCACCAACAAGGATTGAGTACATAAAATTACGTTACTTCTTAGAGTGCAGAGTCTTGATAATCTGTTTTAGCCAAACTTCTGTTAGTTCTGAAGGCTTTTGCCTCGTATTGACGTGGGTGATATTTACAGGACAACTGGATTGCTCATCAGGATGACTTCAACCAGCTCCTGGCTGAACTGAATGATTGCCACGGACAGGGTGAAACAGGTAGGTTCATGCTTTGCTCAATCAGATGTTGGAAACTTAGCAGAGTTTCCATTCCATCCATTTCCATTCTTTAAAGTCTAGCTGAGGCCCAGTCCTTTGGGCCGCTGATAGTCTCCTTCCTGAGGTTGACAACTCCCTCTTCTTCCCGTTCTCCCCCAAAAATCAGTGGGATACAAAGGACACGTTGCCATCCATGACCATGCTCAGGTTTGTTTGATCTTGGTAGATTGATTTTGCTCTCAGTCAGGCCTCTATGAAAGCAAATACAAAATGAGATTGATTTTGCTCTCAGTCAGGCCTCTATTAAAGGCATTTTGTTGGGGAAAGCAAATACAAAATTTTGAACTTGTTTGTTTTATCCAGGACCACAACATAGGGGACCTTTTGTACTGGGATGTACCATTTATCCAGGACCACAACATAGGGGACCTTTCGTACTGGGATATACTGGAGCCAATATGAAGGCTCACATCACAGTCCCTCACCGTTGCAATGCATTTGAACTGTCCCTCCTGGCTTCCATCCTCTGGTGGTTTCTTAAAAACCTACTTTTCCGGTCCTCAGAGAGCTGCTTTTTAGCTTTTGACTCAGAGTTATGCATCTCTGTTTCGAGTGTGGTGTAATGTGATTTTTGTAGCCCTGATGTAGAGCACCCGAGTGGGGAAACTACACAACTTTCCCGAAAGGGCTATTTATAAAGTCTTTGAATTTTGAAGAGCTGTGTACAGTTTGACCTTGGTTTGTAAAAAATGAAGTTATGCAAAACCGGTGGGTGTGACCTTACAGAGGGAATTGGACTGGTCAAATCTTTTAACTCCTTTTAGTTAGACTCAAGTTTAAACTCTGATCATATATGTAAGATAAAACAGCTCTACGGAGTGTTGTTAACCAAGGGCTCTGTGTGGACACAGCCCCCTCTCCGTGTGCTGCTCGTGGCAGAATTGCCAGATTAGTGAATTTAGCAATTGTTCGTTCATTCGTTCACTCTATTCATTCTTAAGGGAAGGTAGAAAGAGAAGAAAAACCATTTAACGAGAAGGATCAATCTTGGTTCCTAATCTTAGAGAACTAGGATTAAAATTCTGAATCTGGTGCAATTGTTTTTGATTCCTGTATAAATTAACCTTGTGCATCGGAGCCCTGGTCCCGATTTGAGGCTGCGCGACGGTAGGTGCTGTGGTTAAAGTCCTCAAGAGGTAGAAGAGTATATCGTAGGGAAATTCCAGAAGTTCCTTTCTACTTTTATAACTAAATCCTACCCGAGTTCCAACTTGAGCCCTGGGAAGATCATTTAGGTGGAACTGGTGGGAAACCTGCACTCTGGCGAGCAGAGAGCTGAAATGACTTGCCCAAGGACACAGTGAGTCAGCACCGAGGCAGGTTGGTTGAGCAAGGCTGTGTTCTTCCTAAATCTCTTCCCTGGGTCATCTCTACTTATGCAAAGTGGCCCCGGAAAACCATATTTCTCCCTGGTTTACTCCATTATTTTTCCTTGATCTTTTTAGGAGCCGGGACAAGGATTTTTCAATCACTCGGGACAAATTTTGGGTGCATGTTGGAAAACTCCCTGTCAGAATCGTGTTTGATGATTTGCAGGCCGCGAGCGTTGCTCCCAAACTTGTTTTTTTGGCAATTGTTGAAGCTGGCAAAACTCATCCAGATATAACTCTGCCTGCAGCTGTGCTACAGGATCGAGTGTTACATTATTGGCCATCAGCCAGGTTCCAATTGCATTAAAAGTCAGCTGAAAAACTTCATTGTTCTTAAATAACTGGTGTAGTTGCCAGAGATGGATTGCAATTAGAGGTCGGGAAGGAAGGGCCCCACGGTGGTTTGTATGCCAACATTCAAATACCCTTGATGTACATCATTTTAGCTTTCTTTTCTTTTTTTTTCTAGTGAGGTGTTTTGATTCCTGGCTTTTTTTCTGGGATACCAGGTGATGATGACTGTCCCTTTCCCATTCATAAAATGGGCAACGACACACTGGTCGTGTCTTTAATGTGCTTTGGAATATCTATTTGTATCAGATTTGCAGTAGAAGTGACACGTGGCTTTATTGCTATGACTAAATTGCTTTAAAAAGTCCATTAGTATTCTTGCAGCCCTTGCTCAATCTGTTCAGAGGGTTTACCAGTCACTGGAAGGCACTGGGATGTACCTGCATGTCCAGTGCAAGTCCCAGCACGTTTTGGGTAGTGAAATTGCTCCTTGAAGGCACAAGGCGGTGCTGCTGCCCCTTCTGCTGCCAGAATAAAGTGGAGGAGGAAGCCCTGTGGAAATCCTTTGCTCTGTGTAACCTTCCCTTAGGTAGAATTATAGAATTATAGAATCATCTAGGTTGGAAGGGACCTTCAAGATCATCTAGTCCAACCATCAACCCAAATCTGACCAAAAAAACCTCACTAACCCCTAACTCCCAGCACTACATCAGACCGTCTTTTCAACACCTCCAGGGACAAGTGGATGGGAGAGCAGACTCCAAGTGCCTCATCCCCAGTCAGGAAATTTGAGTTGTGATGCTTAAATTTCCCCATAGTCCCTTTTTTATTGAGTATTTTTCAAGTTGTCTTCAAACTCTTGGCTAAAACTGAGTTTGTGGGTCCTTCCTCTTCTCACTAGGGCTTAGTGTGTAAATAGAAGAGTAGATCTGAGTGCTTTCTGGTGTCAGCTCTCCCACCCCTGTCTGCCCATCTCATTTTTAGGTCAGTGACTCCATCGTTGGGTGGCACTGCCCATCAAACAGTGACGTGCTGTAATTCCAGTGTCAGAAAAGCTTGGGCTGCAGAGCTTTCAGGGGTGGGGGCCTACGAAAAAGGTGACTCAACTTGGCCCTCAGGGTATGGGTTGATTTCCCTACCCATCCCAGTTGCCAGTGGGAGGAAAAAACATCTCACCAGAGTAGCCTTTTCTAGAGTTACAGAGCAGAGAATCCTGTGGTGCCTTTTAGGACAGGACTAATAGTTATTAACCTGCCAGCAGGTTCCCTCCTACTGAGAATTTTTTGTAAATTAACAGGTTCTGTGGATGCAAAGGGTGGATCTGTCCCAGTAAAATAACCTGCCACAGCACAGGAACTTGATATTTCTTTAAATAGTTAAGACTAATCCTTCACGTGGCTTTGACCTGCACAATCTAACATTCTCCCAAACAGCTCCTGAGTGAATTTGGGACTCCAGAGATCATTCTCACTGGAGAGTTTACGTGCAACCCCTCTTCTGGAAGAGAGGAAAATTAAATAATACGGATGTGGCAATTTGTTCTAACTGGCCTCAGGGACAGAGAAGCTCTGCCACCATTTAATTTCCTTTCATCAGTATCAGACTGTGTCCAGTTAGAGGCACTTCATGTAGTGTTAGAAGTGAAAAGCCTGTCTGGGGGATATTTTTTTTCCCCCTTTTTCTTTCTAACCAGTCAGATTGAGTATTTTTGTATTATTTCTTACATCTTTCTCAGAGTCCAGCACTGGAGATACTTTATAATGAACTGCACAATAAACCCTGACTTTTCTTACTGTAGAAGTGGTGTTAAATTAGGCTTTGCCTTTGAGAGATACTTTATAATGAACTGCACAATAAACCCTGACTTTTCTTACTGTAGAAATGGTGTTAAATTAGGCCTGGAGGACCTGTATCTGCCTCCTCTAATTGCATTAGATTGGAAATGGGAAGGGAAGGAGATGTGGCAAAAAAAATAAAAATAAAAATCAAGCAGTTACATGTCTCAGACAAAACTTACCACGCTTCCTTTGGTAATATATTGTGATATGTTGTTGAGATTTGGTTTTGAGAGAGAAAATTGAATACACTGATGTTTGCATTTGGTGGTTAGAGTGCCTCAAATACAGTTGGAACCTGTTTATGGGTTGTGGTTTGTTTTTTTTTTTAGAGTCCTCAGTGAATAATCGGAAGAAGACATTCAGTCTCGAGGAAAAATCCAAATCTTCCAAGAAACGTGTCCATTATATGAAGTTTGCAAAAGGTGAGAGGAGTTTTGTTGTTTCATAAGCTGCAGCCAAGATTAGAGGGGAAAAAAAAAAAAAGCGTCAAGGTGATCTGATGCCTTCTGGGGTCTAAATTTGGCAAGCAAAACCTTGGTTTAGAAATACCCCCTGCAGCAACTTACTTAAAGCTATAATATTCTCTTCCTCTTTATTTTGGACACTTTTCGATGGCTTTAGGCTGATACTGTTGAGTAAAAGAATTTCTATCTGAGCGAACCATCAGCCGAATAAAGGAACAGTGAATATTCTGAGTGATCTGTGCGTGGGCAGGGGATAGGAAAGGGGGGAGGAGGAGGAGGCAAAGGTGATAACACAGTTCCTTGGGCATCTGCACCGTACTATCCCCTGCAATCTCCAATAACCCCTTCTCAGAGATCATGTGGATAAGATCAGGGATCAGATTAAACCTGAACGCAGGAAGAGGAAAGCCCTCTTACATCTATCAGATGCTTTATAAATCAGGACAGCGGTTGGTGGCCACAAAAACTATATCAAGAACTCATGGAGTTTAGTAATTCCTTTCTTTGAGTGATGACTTTATTTCAGCTATCCCTGGTTTGGGTTTTTGACCATTGTTCAACCTTTTACTCTATTTTTCTGTTGGTTGTGTTCCCCTTTCTCACACCCATGTGCACATGGAGTGTGTATATAAGTTTTTCAATGTATGAATAAGATCTGTTTCCAGGATTGACTAATTTATTATACTTAAAGTTCTGTGTAATATTTTCTGACAGCAAATGCCTCTGCTAAAACAGAAGTAACTGGCGGCCAAATTCTGATACTGGGCTTTGGGGTTTTTGATTAAGTAATTCATCCTAGAAGAGAAATGCGTTAACGTGACCCTGCCACTTTGCCACATTAAACAATTGGTTCAGGGCTTGCAAGTACAGAGGCCATGGCCTGTTTGAGGTAGTAGCAAAGAGGATTTATTTTGATTTGGATTTAACCTTTTACTAAATATAGCAAAAAAAAAAAAAAAAAAAAAGTAGTGTCTTTTGAGCATGTAAAACACAGACTTTCATATTAACAATATCCCTTATTTGTTTGGCTACGGTGTTTCTATAAGGTAGGCCCCCTGTTTGATTGGACCCTCTGTGGTCTAAAACAGGGATAATTGTCCTTTTTCCAGAGGAAAAGTTATTTGAGAGAGGCTAATGTTGTTCAAGTCCGATCCTGCTTCCTTTCAGACTAAACAAGACGAGCTCACACAAAAGCGGGAGAAGGGAGCAGCGGCCACAGAGAAGGCGGCTTCCGTTTCTGGGGCTGTTTTGTAGCTTCTCTGCTGGGGGTGCAGAGGCACCAGGCACAGCAGCCACGCTTGGAGCTGGGAAATACATGCTGAGATGAAATTAAGGCAGTGATTTCACCCATTTTTCTAGCAGCTCTTCCACCGTGATGCTGCAAGAGATTTGGGTTGTCGGCAAAGTCGGTTTTGTCGTAGGGAATACAGAAAGAGGAGGGGGGGGATACGTCGGGGTGGGAGGCAGGGAGAAAGCATGGAAAGAAAGCGTAGGGTTTTGCATCAAAAGATGCATTGCCAACAGGTCCAGAGAGGGGATTCTGCCACTTTACTCTGCTCTGGTGAGACCTCACCTGGAGTATTGTGTGCAGGTCTGGAGCCCTCAATATAAGAAGGACATGGACCTGATGGAGCGGGTCCAGAGGAGGGCCACAAGGATGATCAGGGGGATGGAGCACCTCTGCTACGAGGACAGGCTGAGGGAGCTGGGGTTGTTCAGCCTGGAGAAGAGGAGGCTCCGGGGAGACCTAATAGCGGCCTTCCAGTACCTGAAGGGAGCCTACAGGAAGGCTGGGGAGAACCTGTTTAGAAAGGCCTGCAGTGACAGGACGAGGGGCAATGGCTTCAAGCTGGAGGGGAACAGATTTAGACTGGAGATTAGGAGAGGGTTCTTCACTGTGAGGGTGGTGGAGCACTGGAACAGGTTGCCCAGGGAGGTGGTTGAGGCCCCATCCCTGGAGATATTCAAGGAGAGGCTCGACGAGGCCCTGGGCAACCTGGTCTAGTTGGGGGTGTCCCTGCTGACTGCGGGGAGGTCGGACTAGATGACCTTTGGAGGTCCCTTCCAGCCTGGGCAATTCTATAAAAGAGGAGGAGCAGCAGGATTTTAAGTGTCACATCCCAAGCCTTAGCCAAGATAAAGCTGCAAACAGTCCCCAGTCTCACCCAGTTTGCTTGGGTAAGGACATATGGAGGCTGCCCAGTGAGACACCAGAAGGTTGGGTAGCCCTTTCTCCTTTAGTTTGATCTGTCTGTTTACCCTTTTAAGGATCCTGAGAAGAAAAAAACAGGTGGAATACTCAGATTTATGTTTGTGTTTTTTTAATTTTACAAGTATTTAGATTCATTTTGAGGCCAGAAGCAGAAAATCAAGCAGACTGCGCCCCCAGCAGACTCGTAATAAATTAGCCTAATATTGTTTCTTTAACTCTTGCTGACTTCTTTTAAAAAGAATATTCTGAGACAAGCTGTAGAAAGGCTTCTGAACTGTAGAATTGGCTAAACATTTGCTGGTGTCTCAGAATATCACTTCACACCCTTTTGCTTCCCCCTCCCTGCTCCGTGTCTGATACTGGGCTGCCCGCACGACGGTGGGGGGAAAGTGATGGTCCTGCTGGAATTCGGAGAAGTCTTTGCTTCACCCTTGAAATTGTTTTAAATTGGAATAATCCGGTGTGTTGTAGAGACGGAAGGTTTACTTTTCACAAGCAATTTTATGAATAAGAAAAGTCTCCACTGAGTAAAGATGGTTTTTTGTTGTTTTTTTTTTTTATCCCCCCCCCCACTATTTGGAGGAGCTGTAACTCCCAAACTCTGTCAGAGGTGGGAAATTCTCGTGAGAATCCAAGGAGATGCAGCTTCTCCTTGAACTTTTCTTGTGTGTAGGAGGATACAGCTCTCTTTACTGTAATGCAGGCTCTTCCCTCATCTTCCTGTGACACTTGCAGTGTCAGATGGGGAAAAACAAGCTGTTATTATTTGTTTCCCTGTGGGCATCCACCGCCAGGCTGTGGTTGTCTCCTCACCAGCCTTTCCCTCTACACACACCCATCTACTCCTGTACGTGAGCTCCATGGTCAGCTTTCATTTAATATCTTTAGAGTTCTCCTCCTGATTATTTTTTGTTCCACCTTCAAAAACAATTTCTTTACCTCCATGGTCACAGTTTGTGTTATCAAAATGTATTTATCATCAATAGATGTGAAGGTTGTGGCATTTTTTTTTTCCTCCCCTTGCCCCCTTTCAGGTAAGGATCTCTCTTCGCGCAGTGAAGATGATCTGTCCTGCATATTTGGGAAGCGACAGAAGAGTATGAAGACACAGGTAAACAAAAGGCTTCACCTTTCTCTTGTTTCCTGGTGTATTATTCCTTATAACAAAACTATATTTAAATGTCTTTCTGCTGATGAGATTATCACATGCCCATCAAGAGCAAGATATCTTCTGCCCGTGAAGTGCGTGTTGTTTCGATGTGAAGTCTGCAGGTGGAGGGCTGTGCTCTGAACCCTAAGGAAATAAGATTGGATTTAATACCTATTTTTGTGAATTATTATAATGTAGCTTCTTTGGAATTAGGAAACTTCAGTATTTTATTTTACACTTCTCACATCGCAAAGTAGATAAATTTTGCTTGATCTGAAAGATCCGTAAATATCCAAAATAAAATCTGAGATTCTGTAGCAACTGGCCAATCTCAACAAACTGCCCTTATTTTCACAAGAATTGGGAAAGGCTGAACAGCTGCAAATCCTTGCTCATCTTTGAAGAATTCGTTCAGAATTCAATTTAGAACTCAGAAGAAGCCACTCAAAGATGGCTTGAACGCCGATAAATATTTTATGAGAAGACTTTTCCCCTATTTTGTGTAACAAGTTTAAGGTTTGTACTAGCATTTGTTGTATTTACGTATTCATTAGCATTTTGCACTTGCAGAGAACAGTCCTGCTATATCAGTATATAAAATAACAAGTTTATACTGCAGCATGACTAATATGTCCAGAAAAATTCTTTGGAAAAGATAACATCTGGAAAGCACAAATGAATACGTTCCAAGAATTGCCATGTTGGTTCAGAGCTCTCTGAAGACTCTTGTCTTTCAGAGGGAAAGATGGGGCCTGAAATTGGATGGAAAGGTCTGAAATACCCAGAGACTTTCCTCCTTGTTCAAAATTGAAAATCGTTCTGTGACTTCACTGTGGGCCACTGTGAACCTTGGGAGGAGAGGAACAGGGGGATGAACATGCTGAGAGATCCTGGATAGTAGTGAAGGTAATATAAGGTACAGAGCTGTGTAAATGCTGGGTGGAATGATGAGGGAGCTGGTGAAGAGCAAACAGGGATCCACTGGGGATTCCTCCCTGGAGAAAACTCTTACTATAAAATAAAGAATACTTCACTGAGGTGTCTTGAATTGAACGGTTTGAAGGATTTGATTTTGCGATTATCCCAAATAGTGTTGTAATTTCAGCAAATGTGCTGTAGGTTTTAAAGTTATTGGTAGGACAGAGAAAAATGTCGAGTCTGTTTTCCGAGTACTGTTCTCTAAACTATGAAAATACGGTTACAGTTAATTAAACCGGGAGGTTGGGGGAAATTTAAACAAATTTAGAACTGTCCTGTCTTGTCTGCCACTGCGGAAAACAGTATGAACCTTTGTTACCAGTCACGTGGTTTGGCTTGAAAGGTAAGAGCTTGAGAGGAGGCTGTCAGGCACAGCAGAACCCATCTTATTATTTATACTTATTAATGTCTTGAAATAAGCATTTGGGGGCTTCAAATGCGAGACCTCTAACAGCACGAGAGCTGTTAGAGGTCTCAAATGCTGTAGGTAAACTTGCACCATCAGAGCCCCCTCGATTAACACTTCTCATTATCTAAATATGCTGTGGATCTAGTTCTTAACTCTTATGAAGCAAGAAAAACTGAGATTTAATGCAGATCAACAGTTCTGTGGTTAAGGGGGTAGGTTTTGCTCACCCGTGGGTTGTCCCAAATGGTTGGTCTTGTTTTCTCTGCGTGTCCTGCATCCTTTGAAACTAAAAATAAGTTTGGAAGGTGCTGCTGCTGCTGCTTCTGGGACTCCATCCTGCAGAACATTTGTTCTTTTGTTGATAGACGCTGCAGATAATGCACATTTATGGCGGCTTGTGCAGGGTGTCTAAGTTTGTGCACACTTTTGCTAATTCCTTGCCCGACGCAGTGGTCAGCCGTTGGCTACTGCACAGGTTTCCTTTTTCCTCTCACTGAACAGTGAGCTAATGGTTCAAGGTTCTGGCAAAAAGTCACGGACTGTTCCCTGTTAAGCACCCAGATTTCCACATGCAAATACAAGGCAGGAGGTAATGTCATTTGGAGCTGCATTGTCGTCTTCTGGCCACCGTCTGCTGCTGAGCAGCCACAGGGACAGAAAGCCAGAAGCAGCACAATTGCTTTTTTTTTTTTTTTCCTACCCTCTCCTTTTCTTCATGGGTCAGAGATCTGTGGAGTTTGCCCAGCACAAAAATGCATTGCTCAGGCCCTCCAGTTTTGAGCAATTTCGTTTCGTTGCACCCATGAACTCTCCTGATCCCTTTCCATCACGTTCCAGAGCCTGGTCCTTAAGGTGGCAGAAATGGAGCTGCCCCCTGAGGAATTGCAGTGCTGTTCTCCGTGGGTGTTCGCATTCTGTTCTGGGGCCAATTCTCTTTAACATCTTTATCAATGATCTGGACGAGGGGATCGAGTGCACCCTCAGTAGGTTCGCAGATGACACCAAGCTGGGTGGCAGTGTTGATCTGCTGGAGGGTAGAGAGGCTCTGCAGAGAGATCTCGACAGGCTGGATCGATAGGCCGAGACCAACGGGATGAGGTTCAACAAGGCCGAGACCAACGGGATGAGGTTCAACAAGGCCAAGTGCCAGGTCCTGCACTTGGGTCACAACAACCCCAGGCAGTGCTACAGGCTGGGGGCAGAGTGGCTGGAGAGCTGCCGGGCAGAAAAGGACCTGGGGGTGTTGGTCGACAGTCGGCTGAACATGAGCCAGCAGTGTGCCCAGGTGGCCAAGAAAGCCACCAGCATCCTGGCCTGTATCAGGAACAGTGTGGCAAGTAGGGCCCAAGAGGTGATTGTCCCCCTGTACTGGGCACTGGTGAGGCCTCACCTCGAATACTGTGTCCAGTTTTGGGCCCCCCACCATAAAAAAGACATTAAGGTGCTGGAGCGGGTCCAGAGAAGGGCAACAAAGCTGGTGAGGGGTCTGGAGCACAAGTCTTGTGAGGAGAGGCTGAGGGAACTGGGGTTATTCAGCCTGGAGAAGAGGAGGCTGAGGGGAGACCTTATTGCTCTCTCCAACTCCCTGAAAGGAGGGTGTAGAGAGATGGGGGTCAGTCTCTTTTCTCAAGTCGCAGGCGACAGGACGAGAGGAAATGGCCTCAAGTTACTCCAGGGGAGGTTCAGGCTGGATATTAGGAAAAATTTTTTCACTGAAAGGGTTATCAGGCATTGGAATGGGCTGCCCAGGGAGGTGGTTGAGGCACCATCCCTGGAGGTGTTCAAAAGACAGGTTGATGAAGTGCTGGGAGGTCTGGTTTAGTGATGATGCTCCTTGTTTGTTGTGTGGGTGTCTATTTTTGTCAGTTAGGTTGACAGTTGGACGAGATGATCTTTAAGTTCCCTTCCAACCTAGAAGATTCTGTGATTCTATGTATCGATCCCATAGCTTGAATTCCTATCTATAAATATCTTTCCGAAGTATTAGATTCCTCCTCTTTTTATTAGAGGTGCAGTTTGAGAAGCGTTCGGTACAGATTTGACTTGGGCTGAATGACCTGTCCTCATCTTGCCATAGTCGTCATCTTTTGACAAAGATACTCAGCATAATTCTGTTTCCCATAGTTCTAGTTGTTTCAGTCCAGGATCAAAAGCATCTTGGGTATTAACTTCATGGAATTGCAGAATTACTGAGGTTGGAGGAGACCTGTAGAGGTCTCCAGATCAACAACCCTGCTCCAAGCAGGGTCTGCTACAGCAAGCTCCTCGGGACCTTGTCCAACTGAGTTTTGACTGTCTCCCTCCCTTAGAGCCTCCAGTTTAACCTGTGACAAAATTCAGTGGATGGATTAAGGAAATCACTTAAGGAGCAGGAGATGGGAACATTTTGGAATAACAAAACACACTGTAAACAGACTCAAGTGGGTGATCATTTGCAGTTCTGTAGGCACCAGAAACACCATGGAAGTTATGGAGGCATTTAAGGATGTGTGGCATCAATGGCGTTATGGCCAGATTTTTCATCTGAGTGAGTTGTGGACCTTCTCTGAATCCTAAGAGCTGTTGTACCCACAGCCTTTGAGTTTTCCTAGTTGTACAGATGGCCTAATGTGGAGTAGACCCTGGCAGTGGTATTAATTACGTTGATGCTCACCAGCACTGGCCTGCTAGGTCTGGCTGGTTGGCTGGTGTTAGTCCAAGCTGTTCTTAAAGATTAGGAAAAGAGGGGAAAAGAGTAAAACCCAGGAAACTTCATCTGTGCTTATGATCAGATGGGAACCAGTGGAAGGGCTGAAGGCTGAGTGACTCGGTCTCTGGACCAGCAAGATAATGCTGGCTCTTCTGAAGTGTTTGTCAAAAATACATCACCTCTGAACTGCTGCTGTGATAACTGGTGTCCCAACAAATCAGAGATGTCACAGAGACACCGTTCCAATTAGTTGTGTTCAGTCTTTCTTAGTATGGTCATTAGCAATCATTTTACAATCTTCACCTGTGGAGTAGTCTTTGGCAGAAGGTGTTTTGTGGTACCTTAATACGAGCTCTCAACTGAAGAGCTGATCTCAGACTCACTTCTAAACTGTCTCAGTAGCCTGGGACTGATCTGGCTAATGCATCTTTTCTCTCCTTTCACGCTGACACCGCTGCAGTAAGGGGTGATAACTGGTGTCCCAACAAATCAGAGATGTCACAGAGACACCGTTCCAATTAGTTGTGTTCAGTCTTTCTTAGTATGGTCATTAGCAATCATTTTACAATCTTCACCTGTGGAGTAGTCTTTGGCAGAAGGTGTTTTGTGGTACCTTAATACGAGCTCTCTTAACTGAAGAGCTGATATCAGACTCACTTTTAAACTGTCTCAGTAGCCTGGGACTCATCTGGCTAATGCATCTTTTCTCTCCTTTCACGCTCACACCGCTGCAGTTAGTGGGGATGTTGAAATTTGGGTTATCTACCTTATCAAAGGGAAAGGGAGTTGGCCAGAGGATTGTAAAGATTGCAAAAGAGTGGAATTGCAAAGGGATATGGAAGGACGAGGGGCAACAGGCACAAGTTGGAACACAAGAGGTTCCAC